TGAAGTAATTGACCTTTATCAAAGCGTACTCAAATTTAAATAAGTCAAGATTACAATTGGATATTCTAGAATAAATAATAGCTTGTTGAATTTCCTTTATTAATTTTTTAGAGGAACAGATATAATAGTTTCTGCTATTGCGTCTAATAAATTTGTCGCGCTAAAAAGGATACTGAACTGTTTGATTCTGCTCGTAAATTAAAAATAGCAAGCGCAAATACGTTAGATTATAAATTGTTTAGAAGTCAGCGTCGCATAATCGTGATGAATGAAGCATTATTATCATTGTATATGCATAAGTTTGGTTTATATAATCGTAATTTTCGATTTATTCGTTTATTAATTATCAACTAGAGTATGATCATGTGGGCGGCTTCGCCGCCTAGAGTTCAAATTTAAAAATTATTAGCTTTAATAATTCGCGGCAAAGCCACGGGAATTTTGTTAATTATTTGCAAATTAAATTAGTTCACATAAATCATATGTTTCTTTTTAATATTGATTTTATTTAATACGTGTTGTAGGTAGATTTAATTATTGGAATCTACTAAAGTTCATTTTAAATTTAAAATAATTAAAATCTATTTAATAAAGATCATATTTTATTTGTGATATGCTGTTTTTAACAAAAATAACATTTTAAAAAAATATCTATTTCTAAAGTTTTTTCTCTGATCTAATACATTCATGATTTTAATTTCACTAATTAACGTTAATAGATCGTTTTCGTACTCGCGCACTATTTGAGAAATAATAGATACAGTATTAATCGAAAAAAAGTTTCAAAGAAGCATTTACTAGTACGAATAGATATTTATATTTGTGATTTAATTCCATTAATTAATGTTAATAGATTCTGCTCTGTTCGAGATATATTAGGGAAATAGATATCGAAATAAGTATTGGTAATAAGTATTTCAATCTGTCAATTTTAATTTTATTGATTAGATTTTATTTACATGTCATTTGAGGTATTAAGTATTTAGATGTAAGTATTTATATTCGTAATTTTTAATTTCATTGATTAACATAATAGACATTTTTATACTCGTGCACTATTCCAGGGATATTAGATAATTAATTTAAAATAAGTATCTAGAGACAAATACCGGTAAGTATTTATGTTATACTCGCGCATTTTTTAGAGGTGTAAGTATTTAGAAATAAGTATTGACGAATAAGTTTTTAAATTCGTAATTTTAATTTCTATATTCACGCACTATTTGAGGTGTAACAAATATCAAGTATTTATGTTCGTGATTGTAATTTCACTGGTTATCGCTAATAGATTATCTCTATATTTATGTACCGAGGGTATTATTTAATCGGAAATAAGTACTTAAAGGTAAATATTGGTGAATAAGTATTCGCGATTTTAATTTCACTAAGGAAATTTATGTTCACAATTTTAATTTCACTGATTAACGTTAGTACTTACGCACCATTTGAGGTGTATTAAGTAAATAAGTATTTAGAAAGCATTAACGAATAATAAGTATTTCTATTTGTGACTGAATTCTACTGGTTAATATCAATATATTATCTCTATACTCACGCATCATTTAAAGGAATTAGGTAATTAATCGAAAATAATATCTAGTAATGAGGAAATATTTATTTTAAAGTATCAGAAAGATACTTTATTTGTTAAAGAATATAAAGACTTGATAATAAAATTAAGATCTATGTATACTATTTTTATACTTTACAAAAAATTAGAAATATAATAGATTACATATATTATATAACTATATATACTAAGGTTGCCAGCTGTAAGTAATAATTATAGATATTACAAATTACAACCTGGGTTACAACCCTAATTACAACTAACACTCAAAGTTGTAAATATGCTATAATAGTTATAACTATTGTAATGCCATAATTATTGTAATTGTCATAATTGTTGTAAATGCCATGATCAGTTGTAATTATCATGAAAATATAAGTAATTGTGTCTTGTATATCCTTACAGACATGTAATAGCTTATCAAATTTAATTACATGTGAACAAAAATCAACTTTTATACTTTAAAATTTTAAATTAATAATCTTCAAATGGATTTTGAGCTTTCAAGTTTATAACTTAATAACTCAGCTCCTAAAAATCTAAATACATAACTAAATTTAATTATTACTATATCAATAATCAAATTTTCTAGGGATTGAATTCGTTAAGTTATAAACTCGAAAGATCAAAACTTGGGGTCTTTTTTTTTTTTTTTGAAAGTACTCTTAATACGGAGAGGCGCGTTGTAGTATACTGTAGATTTGGGCATGCCATGGTTTACTGTCAATGCACATGGTTATTTGGCGTACTTGTTTTGAAATTAGCAATTCATATCTGACATTCTTTAATTTCGTAATAATCTATATGATTAAAATCACTGAAATCTCATTAATATCTGTTTTAGCATGATTGCGTCGCGCAATTACTTGTTAATCAGATCATTATGCCCATTACAACCATTACACCCAATACAGCCATTACACCTATTACGACTATTACACCTATTACGACTATTACACCTATTACGGCAAAAAATTACAACTTCGAGATTAAAGGTTGCAAACCTTCCAACCTATTACGGCAGGCAACCTTAATTGGGATGTTCTACAAATAGATTTTATTAATCGATCCTTGTAAAAAGACGTTTATGTGGTAATTTCGAGACATCTTTCGCGCTATAACTTTCTTTTGACAAATTAAAATAACGATAGGCATTGGCTGACTGATATATTATCGTTTATATAATGTGATAATATAAATCCAATGGCGTATAAGAAACTACTAATTTCCGTTTTTGAAGGATATCGATATTAATTTTTACATTCTGGAAATAATATTCAAAGACATCGGTAATTTATAATCGACTACTATATATTTTAGCCTTATATCGAATATACATAAAACAATAAAACTACATGAAAACTACATAGTAACCCTTCAAAAAAAAAAAAAAAAAAGAAATTTAAAAATTATACATAAAGAATTTTATCTAATATATAAAGAAAGATCATTTAACGATTAAAAAAATTTCTAAGTACACCGATCAAATATATAATAAATCTTTTCGCAAGAGAAAAATATAATTTACAGTAAACTTATTCATCTTCTATCATATCTTCTGCCGCCGAAATTAAACTTTTCAATTCTCCTCGCTCATGAAGAATTGAAATAAATTCACGTATAAATGGGCCATAATCAAATGTTCGTCTTTCTCTCTCAACCTTAAAAACAAAAAACAAAAAATTAAAATTAGAAACAAAAGTCAATTAAACAATATTTGATTATCAAAGAATTTACCATTTTCAACTTATTTTCTCTATCAATAGCTTCGATTAAAAATTTAATTTCATCAATCATCTTGGCTCTTAATTGTTCAACCATTTCGATATCATCATGATACGCCGTCAAAGTTGAAAATTCAATCACATAATTCCCCCGTTTTTTAACTTTTTCTTCGTCTTCATCAGTAAAAGGAACGTCGACCTAAGAAAGATAATAATAATTAATAATACTAGTGATAAAAATTTGGCAATAATTAAGATAACACTTACATCTTCGGTATTGATTTCTCTCCAAATACTATTAAGCTCATCAAGCCTATTCTCGGCAAGTTTTTTAATGTACATACAATCTTTAACCCTATCTTGGTGAATACCTATTTGATCTTTAGTTATAGCTAGAAGAACGTATTCTACTTGTTCTGCATGAAAACTATAAAAATGGAAACTAGACGATTATAATACCGTTACTAAAATGATAAAAATTTCAGACAAAATAACATTTACCTATCAATACGCTCATGGATAACACCACGAGCAGCATCATACCATTGTTTTTCATTAGAATATTTGCCTGGTATTAAACATAATTGTGTTAAAAAAAAAAATTCATAATTAAAAATAATAATAATAAATTTAATTGAATTTAATATTATGTATGCACACCCAAGCTAACGGGATGCGGATATAAACCATCCAATTGCCAAACTTCACCATCAATCGGAACATAAGCGATATAATGATAAACTTCACCACCACCTTCTTCCTCTGAACCACCGGCTTTTTTACTTGGTTCTTCAACTATT